TATCAAGAGGATAAAAAGAACCCTCAAAAAAAAAAAAGAAATAACCTTCTGAAAACTTCTGGTAAGCCTAGAAACTGTTTGGGGGCTGTGGATCCACACTGAAAAAAACCTCTGCCAATAACTCTCAGTTCCATCTATCCCAAGCAGACAGTCTTTTCCCATGGATTTTCTCACTTCTGGTAATCATCTGGATACTATAAAATATAATTACCATCATTATAAATATCAGCATTAGTTCAGATGACACCTTAGTCTTTTAGTTCTTTTAAAAATTGGGCAATCTAAACTTGTTTCATACTTATTCAATTACTTGAATTTCACCATGGAACTAGAAAACAAATTGAGTTTATTGTTTAACATCTCTGCAGTTGCCAAAAAGAGGGTAAGACAAAGAAAACCTAATTTTATAAAGCAAAACTTCCCAGCTTCCATGTCCAATAAGCAATTTTTCATAGGAGCTAATGGAAAAAACTTTTTTTTTCTCTTCCATAACTGCATAGAATAGACCTAGATTACCCTAAAGCCTGAACTCTAGAGGAAGCTGAACTTCTGACAAGGCAATCCAGATTTTAGCCCAAATAACACATACCTGGAGGTACCTTTGGACACCACTTTAACACTGTTGTCAGTCTTCATGAAGTGAAGGATAAAAGGTGCTAAGTTGACAGTTCTGAAATCTGGGGGAAATGTGGGAGTTTAAATGACAGATGTTTTTGGTTAGAAATACATCATCATCGTTCATTTCATCAGCTGCAGGAAAAATGAAAATTTCCGTAGAAACCCAACAGAGATGATAGTTTAATGATCTAGTAGGATGTGTATTACAAGACACTGAAAACACAAGGATTGTTTAAACATGGAATGATGAATATGACCTTATCTTACTCACGAAGAGTCAGAACAGCTGCATCCTGATGCCAAGTGTAAACAAAGGCAAGGCAAGATGTGCTGTGAATAATCTGGATTTGCTTTTTTATTCATCAGTGGAAAGTAAAGCACAGCAGAGACCTCTCAGTTTCTCACCTCTCCTGTATCAATACATAAATACAAAAGAGCACAACCCGCATGTGTTCAAACAGAGACTCAAAAATGTTTGAACATCAGGGAAGCTTAAGAGACGTCCTAGAGATTCTCTCAGGGAAATAAAATTTCAGAGCACATTTATGCTAAATTGCACAAAATGCCCAGCTTTGTAGCTTCATTCAAAGCTTTTTCATCCACAGGTGAGTATAATTTGTGAGGGAGCCCCACAAATTTCAACACTATGATTTCCAAGTGATCTCTTAATGCCCATTCTTCAGCATATCCAATACTCTGACTGAGAAACACTTTTTTTTTTTTTTTTTTTTTTGAGGAAGGACTCTAATTTTGGAAGTAGAAGAGTGACAATAGGATCTCTAGTGATTGAACAGCTCTTCTACATGAAGAAATATATGTTAACTCTAGAGAGTTCTTTATGAAAGAATGAGCTGAAATGCAAGAAGGTCAGTGAGTGAAAAATAAACTTCGTAGCATTTTAAATATCATAAATGCAACAAGAATATGAGTCTTTTTAGTAAGGAAGAAAGCAGGAAGTAACTTAGATGAATCTGAACATTCTAGGAAATCCTAAGGTGAGAAGAAGAAAAAAAAATCAGAGATTTCAAGGAGTATGCATCATGGATTATGCATGCATGTATACATCAAGGAATATGCTCAGGTATCAAGGAACAAATAATTTTGAAAGGGGGGGTAGGTGGTCTAATGTCCAGATACCAACTCAATAGAGCTTTGAGAGAGCTCTGACTAAGACAAGACACATAATCATCATCAATTGACAGACAGTTCTCTGAAAAACCTTGAAGAGAAGAGATATTGACAGGAGATACAGACAGAAATTCTGCCACCAGCAGTCACTCCAAGGCAGAGATATTTCCTCATCACAATATTCAGAATAGTGCCATAAGCTATGTAAGGGAACAGATTGACAGGCAGCACAGAGTCAAGATTAATGATGAGTCTCTAACCATCTAATTGCAGCTGAATATCTGAGTGCGGCAAATCACACCAAATATAGTGAATATAATCAAATGCACTTCCCGTGCAGGGAAAATATCTCTCTGGTGCTCCTGTACATGCCTGGTTCCCAAATGAATCAGTCAAATTGCTGTTTCAAGCTTTCAAGACTCAGTCAGAGATGCTGTCTATGTGAGGGTAGTTATTCAGAGGATAGCAAAGCCCATTTTCCTGGGGTTGGTAGGCTGCCCTGGCTGACCCATGGCTGCAGTGTTATGCAGGATCAGAAGCCCCAGTAGGGCCTTTTTCAGAGTGTTTTTCCTGCCCTGTTTTCTCCAGCAATCTGCTCACCACCATGAATCGCTCTCTCCCTCTGTGCCACCAAAACACAAGATATGGTCCTGGAAATGAGCCACAAATAACCTGGAAATAACTTAATAAATACTGCCCTCCATTTGGGAGGAGTGGGTGGCAGCACTGATATCACTCTGGGGAGAGACAAAGCTCACACATTCTGACTGCTGATCCATACACACTGCAGCAAATTAAACTTGACATGCCCTCCTATAAATCCAGCCTGGCAGTGGAAGAGCTGGATCCAGAGCTCTTCAGGAATATAATATAAAATAAATAACATCATATAAAATCCTGAATAGGTAGCCCCTGTGGAGAAGGAGGATGGGATGGCAGGACCTCTGCTGCCATCTTCTCCCAAAAAAAGAAAAGAAACTTTCCTATTGCACAATTAAAGGAGTACCAGAAGGATCACAAGGATCTTTATCTCCAGGGTAGCCCTTGGTTTTGGGAGCAAAACTGCCAAGAAGCCATAATTTTATTGCCACAGTTTGCAACACAGTGGTGAATGCTAAATGATGCGTGTTCACATTCAGCTGCCAAGTGAGTGCTTTAGGTACATTACCTGTCTGTTCTTTTCTAGGGAGCTAAGAAAAATAGATGCATTGGCAGTTACTTCTTTTTGTGCAAATATTCTCATTTGTGTTTCCCTGACATTCAAAGCATTTTAGAGCCATGCAATGGTTAGATTTACCCTAGAGATATTCTGTCTACACTGGGTACACTCCTAAGGAACTTCAAAACTCTCTTGAACTCAAATCTTCAACAAGACTCACCATACCCTGGATGATCAAGGGAATATTATATTCAATTCTTAATGCACAGCTAAGGAGACTGTTGGCAATAATCTTTGCTTTGACTCATGTGCAGGTCCAAGGTAGCCCTAATTATTGAAGAACCAGAGCCCCTCTCTTATACAAAGGAAGAAACACTGAATTCTTTTTAGTTCCTCCTTAATTCCCATTTGTCAATGTTATAGACCACCCTCAGAAAAATTATTGCAAGACAAATATACACAGATGCAGTGATTTTATTTGCTACTGCACTATTTTATGAGTGTGTACCGCAGAGCCTAACTTCAAGGCAAGAAGATTTATGATGTAATTACTTTAGTATATTGTTGTACAATTTGCAACTAATGGAAAAGAAATTTACTGGCTACACTTCAGCTGTCAGAAAGTCTGTCTGCAGAATAAGAGTGGAGGGAATATGTGCTTCTCCCCGTGAGTGGAAATGTTAAATGACAGGCATCACTTAACCTGATCCAACATTTTAAACATGATCAGCTACCCATATCACAATAAGTAAATTTTCCTGCAAAGAAAATTAATTGTTCTTCATAAGGAAACAGAGGCATGTGATGTCAAGAAGCAAATAAAAAAACTACCCAGCACATCCACTCCCAGGAGAGTCAAGCCCAGTCAATCAACTTTCTAGCCAAGTGTAAAAATTAAGAATTCCATATCCTTTTTTAATTGCTTTAATTGGTGGTGTTTCCCAGTGGACTTTCATGTTGCACTTAGCCTATTTTCCCCCAAGTTGAAAAAAATGCATCTGATTAATAATCATGTAATTGAATTTCCAGTTCAATGTTTAATGTCTAACATCCCGTAATTAGGAAGAGCAAAAGCAGAGACTTGTCTTCACTTTTGACATAAGATCTTTTTGATGGAGAAAAAATCATTGATATCAAATGTTTTGCAACTTACATTTCTCAGCAGCTTGCCAAATCTGTTCAAGTGAGATGCCTGGTAGTAAACATCCCTTTCATTAGAAACAGAGAAATTGGAGGCATGAAATTGAATGGAGGAGGATGGAGGAGTTCAGTCACAGATTTCACTGGCCCTAATACTCAGCATAATTTAGAAGGAACCCAAACTCACATCCCTTGGAAATAAAATCAAAGTTTCCTGTTGCAGCACAGATGAAAAAGCTGATGCAATCTGATGGGTATCTAAGCCTAAAGTGAATTTAGCCTATATCAAATAGCAGTGAATGTGAAGATTTTTGTTTGATCTTTGTATTTGGGACAGTTGCCTGCTCTCTGAAGCAGAGAGGCAGCTGTGGCTCTCTGTTCCTTTCCCCATTTTCTACCCTTTGCTCACTACAACTACCATTGTTTGGAGAATTCTGATTAATAGTTCTGGACTCCTGTTATAGAGATAGTAATAAAGCATGTCTGCATCATAAAACTTCCTCTTACACCATTAGAACAAAAACTATTAAAAAAAACCACAATAAAATACAGAAATACCTTTTCTCCATATTGAAAATGCAATGAAACCAAGGAAAACTTGAAATGAAAATAAATCAGGCTGCCATCCAGGATCATGCATTGTGGGCAGATCTTCATATCCTCAACTTCAGCCTATTTAATGTAATTATGAGTGTATTAAACAAAGCTTGAAATAAGGCAGGTTATGAAGCTTCATGCCCATGTCCATATCAGAAGGAGACCATGCCAAAGTTTCCAGTTCCAAATACTTCATAAAAGCCTTTCTAGATCCTTTACACAGTCAGCTACCATCACAAGTTCAGCTAATGGGAGCTGAAAACACCAAGGTGCTGCCATGTTTTGTACTCAGGTATAATGGTGATGATCTTGATAAAATCCTCACCTTACACACTTCAAAAGGCAGTGAGGTGTTTACCTTGACTTTTTATTTCTTGTTCATCACTCTCCAAGCTTCTGATCTCTTCCCACATATGGACTATCCAACAGCAATGCTGTGACCATGCCCTGAGCTGATAGACACACCTACACAGAGACAGAGGCATTCCAAAAGGACTCATTGAGGAATTCAGCCGGGAATTCACAGGTAAAATAAGCTAATACATGGTAATAACCATAACAATAAAAATTATAATAATAACAAAATGTCTTTTTATTGTCTCTGGGCACACATTCTATACTCCCTAAGAGCATCCTGAAGGCACATTTAATTGAGATACACTGAGGTGACTGTATTACTCCAACTTCTTGCCTCTTCCCAGTGTGAATTTAACTTCAAGGCATATTTCTGGAGCAGAATTATAGCTCATACAGAAGAAATCAAGGCAGTACAAAGGTAACTTACCCTGCAGTATGAGATGGGGATATTTAGTGTGCACAGCACATTGCAGGCATAGGGCAGCCTGTGACCTGAGACAGCCCAAAGCCCAAAGGACAGCCTGTTCTCTCATGCTTGGTTCTTTTCCTCTGTTCCTCTGGGACTCCAGGGTGCCCAGAACATTGGCCTCCAAGGTCACATCTGCCAGAGTATCCCTCTCATCACTACTGTAAAACAAACCAAAAGAAGTAATTGAGCCTCTTCCTAGACTGATTTTTCCTTTTGCATAAAAAAGGCAATGGTATTGATGTCTCTTCCAGAGCTCCCACTCAAATGTTTATGCAATAAAAAAAGGAAATATTTTAATAGGAAAATGGAAGATATTTTGTAGAAAATAAACTCTCATTATGTAAGGTAAAAAGGCAACCAAAAATTACAGGACCCTAGCGGAAAAGGCCTGAAACAGAAAAGCCAAATAATTTCTTAGCAATAACAGTCTTAACAATGGCTTAGGGAAAAGAATTTATGAGCCAATTATAAGTCTCCATAGCTCTATAAACCTAAGTGAGATGAGCATTGACTAACATATCAAATTCCTGGTGGAGATTGGATTGTTAATGTGGGCACCAAGACATGGCCATACCGTTCAGCACCCAGGCTGTCAGACTGTGGTGTGCTGCTTTTCCCTGAGTTAACTTCCACCTGTGTGCTTGGCTGGGTTTGGGAGAGGAACTGCTTCTTTTTCATGCTCCACTGAGCTGGAGACAAAGAAATTACAAATGAAGTTAGACCCTCCCAAAGGGTTACTTTTTAAAAATCTGCAGATTGGCTGTGAGGCAGCCTCTTATATTTGCAGTCTTCTCTGCTCCCTATGAATTGAAATATGGCTTTTAAAAATAATGTGAGTTTGGGGGTGAGTAGATCTAATAATCTTGCCCTGATGAAATTATTTACATGACATTAGTCCATTCCTGAGCATTATACTAACAAGCAATGTGCAGAAATAGGGAATATCTATGTATGACATATTGACCTGAATGCCAAATACCTCAGATTTCTGCATTAACAAGCTGATGGGGTACTATTACAGCAATTATGTCAAATAAACCAAAGCTGACTTTGAAGGTCTGGCCACAAAATGAGAGCCAAGAACATAATCATTGATGAGTCTGCAGCTGTGCTGAAGCTTATTCTGTATTAAACATCTCATACACTTTTACTTTGGTATGGCTTGTAGGATATCTCCAGTACCAAAAAGTTCTGTTTCTCCCATGACTCAGAGCACTCTGGCTGGTAGAAATGGAAAGGCAGGCAAGGGGGAAACTCTGTCCTTCGCTGTGGTCTTCATGCTGATGTAGCTTCTGAGCCAGATCTCAGGGGTACACCTTGATGACCCCATTTGCCCACTCCTGTCATTTACAAGTTTTCACACCTACACATGAAGAGGTCCACAAAACTTCATAAATGCTTCCTTCTGGATGGGCCTGGGCTGTACGACTCAGTGGGGGCATTTTCTGCCTCAGGAGAGGAAACAGCTGCCCTGGCTCCTTCTCATGAGCAGCTTGCCTGGGGAGCCTGCACAGCCCTTGTACAAACTCTGTGACACGAACCCTGGGGAGATGAAGAGTTAATAAATCTCCTGACCAGAATGGCTAAATCTCTTTAATGCAGCTGTACCCACCAGATAACACTGTGCTCCAGGAGGAGCAGCTTTTTTGTGCCCCATATCTGATCCAAGCTGACTTACCAGAATTGGTCTGACTCACACGTACCAACCAGCCTGCTCTCCTGCAGGAGCGAGGGATGAAGACAAAGCTTCCCTCAGAAGTGTGTTGGTGGGATTGGAGCCATTTCAAAAAAATTGGGCAGCCACAGACTGGCCATGTACTTTACCATCCTGCATGCAGTTGTATCTTCATTTTCCATCAATTATTCAATCTAGTAATCCCAGGGCAGCATACAGACTCTCTCCACAAAATTCAGGTTCCCCATTAGATGACTGTAGCTTTACAAACAAAATCTGTCAACTAAAACTTATCACTTTAATCCCTTTTTTCTTATTATTTTGCTTTCCAGATTGCAATACTGGATGCCATCCTGCTGTCTTTCTGTTTTATCTGTCCAGAGTCTGAAGTTAGCAAATGTGATGCCCATTTATAAGGGTTGGAAGGAGGATTCAGGGAACTACACACCTGTCAGTCTGACCTCAGTCCCAGGGAAGGCAATATAACAGATTATTTGTCTGTTTAGACCGGATATTCAGAATGCTTCTTCACCAAAGGGTTGTCAGGCATTAGAACAGGCTGCCCGAGGAAGTGGTGGAGTCACCATCCCTGGAGGTAATGCCTTAAGATCTTAGCTTTTGTATTTTTCAGATTCTGTGCTGTTTTAGTGTGCACTTCTGAGCTTCATATAAAGTAAGCTCTCTTCACAGAGTAGGGAGACAAAACAATTACTTTTCTAGCTTGGGACCAAGGACAACCCCAATACAAATTTCAGGCCCAAGAGCATAAAAAACGGAATTGAAGGATGGGACTTCAAAACCTAGAGCTGTAATTGGGCAATTGACACCAATATGCAAATGGACCAAAACTCATAAAAGTGAGAGACCCCATGACTGGTCATGCATTTTGTGACCATTTCGGGTTCATCCTAGGTGTAGCCCTGGCTGGGCTCTTGTGCTGCCCAAGGTGTATCCATTGAGGCCTTTTAATAAATAACTACTTTATTCTTCAACTCTGTCTAGCCTCTGTTCTAGGTCAGCCTTCTCATGGCATCAGAGGTATTAAGAAGTCATGTAGATGTGGCACTTAAAGATGTGTTTTAGTCCTTTCCTTCTGTATATCAGGCTCTGGATATACAGAGCTTAGTGCAATTCTGTTGCTATCCAAGTGACATGAAGGCTACATTGTTTTCTACATTAGCTGTACCCAGGAGAATCTGATACACAGAAATGTAATTTAAAATCTAGCAAGAGGAATTCTTGATTGATATTCATCCCTCCTCTTTTGTATGTACATTGCTGCAATTGCAAGTCTGGACATTGCCCAGTGTTACCAGGATCCCTGCAGATTTTCTTTACACACCTAATTGACAGAGACCAGATTCTAACAGAAGAAACAGCAGTATGCCATTTGTCACTCCACCAAGGACTCTGTAAAAGCAAGATATGTGAATTATATTCCCCAATAATTCAACGAGATTGCACAATCTGTAACTTCCTGCTCTGTTTCCAGCTCACTCCCTCTCATGAATCTATCAATATCCAACTTTATATAGTGGGGCATACTATACAAAGGGCTCAGTTGCATGTAGCTGGTTTATATCTCCATTTATTTTTCTTTTTTTGTTTTTTTTAAGAACTGTCCTTCCCTCCCTTTTCCCCACTGCTAAAACTGGTCAACATTAACACCACCAATGGTCAATGAACCCAGAAGGATCTGAATTGGTAATCTCATTCCCATACACACAACATCCTCAAATCATTCAAGTCTCTCAAAACCCAGGCAGAAATTACATTTCCTAGTGAAGTGAAGTCTATGACTTGTTTCTGACAAGGTAAAAAATGCCCGTAAGTCGCCATCAGTTGTACATCACTACTCCTCACATCGTCCCAAACCATTCCTTCACATAGTTTGGGAAATCTGTCCCAGGTTAAAAGCTGGAAGAGAATAATAAATTGATTTTCCATGACAATTTAGGTGAAGGTCTGCTGTGGTATGTTTGCAGGGCACTTTGTGTAGCAGAGCCATGACCTATATTAATGCCACATACATTGTGATCAAAAAGACAGGTAGCAAGAAACAAAATGTTTCTTGGATTCTTTAAAGTTTTCCAGTCTGGTAACTTAATAATACAGGAAACCCCTTTTCCTTCTGTTGGTTCTGTTGGCAAACAGAAATACAAATTCACAAGAAAATAGGAAAGAGAATTTGCCCAATGCCTCTTTGCTCCAATTTTGTTCAGATGCTGTGTTCTCTCTGATTTTTTCTTTACCTCCATATAATACATCCCAATTGATATTAAATTGCAGTTTCTTCAAGAAAAAACAAAACCTGTGGCTTTATTTCTGTACTAGCTACTCAGTACTACTGCTTTGCTATTCAAGCTCCAAGGAAAGCTCCTCCTTCACGTTGCCCTGCCATTAGTCCCTATCAATCAAAGCCCTGTCTGTACTGAGTGACCAGCACTGAATGCCTCAGAAAAGGTTACAAAACTTCCATAATTCGGTAATAATTCACCTTGGGGAAGTTTGTTCCTAGTGACAGGATGCTAGTGGGCAGCTTAAGCACTCATAGGCAAGAGCTAATGGAATTAGAGGCTATCTGCAGTATTTGGGAGGCAGCAGGCAATGCAGTGAAGGAGGAAACAATGAGATGATTGAAAAGGATCTTGGACCACAGACACATTTTCTTGTTTTTAAGCAGTCATTCTGTTCCTTAAAATAATTAATTAATGCCAGGGTGATCAGAGTCCTCAGAATTTGTACAGCCAGAGATGAGGAGATTTGTAACATGTACAATCTGAGCACCATAGACCAAGGACATATATTTTAGGCACCTAATGTCCCCGTAAGAGTTCTTGCTTTCCCCTTCCTGAAGCTGCCTTATGCTGCCATCACATGAGCTGACAGCCAAACTTGTTTGGAGAAATAGTCCATCTAACAAAATAGGCTGCCACCAACAGCCTTGAAATGTCCCCAGCACACCTTCACAGCCTCTGGTAGTTTTGTCCTGAATGCACCTACCCTTCCAACCCAACACCTTACAGCAGCCAGTCCAACAGCAAAACTCTCCTGAGCTTCATCACCTTTGCTTCAGGTGATGATAGGCAACGAGGCTAAGGCTTTCAAGGGAAATTTGAAAGGCTCAGATTACACACAAACAATGAAATGAGTAGTATGCACTTATGCCTCTTAAGAGGACTGCCAGTGGCCAATTTGTTGCACTTTAGACCCCATGTTTCACAGGCAGTTGAATAAAAGTGTACTTCCGTGGAGTGTAATAACAGCAAAAGAGGACTGACCAGGGATGAATCTTTTTCACCTGAGTCACTCAGTAACATGCAACTACTCGGTAAACATAACAGTAGATGTTGCTTCATCAGTTCCTTCCAAGCTTATCTGCTGCAGAAAAGGTTAAGCATATTGACCAGGTGTTACCTTTAGTGCTATGTTTATTTTATTAGTGCATGTCCTTGAACTAACGCTGTATTTCATGTA